CTCTCTCTCTCTCTCTCTCTCTCTCTCTCTCTCTCTCTCTCTCAGTCAAGAAATAGCAATTTTCCTCTGAACATATAATTTATAACAAATAACGAGATCATTTTACCGCTAAAGCCTAAAATTAAATACGTTTTTCTGAAATTTATTATTTTTTATTATTTATTATTTTTCACCTTTTTTTTTAAATAGAAACTTATGTTGTAAAGATAGTAATTTTTTGATATAATCTATGATGACAATATGGTTTTAATAAATGATATACGAAAGATGAAAATTTGAGATAGGGTCTGAGATAAAAGTAAAAATCAGTAAATTATTTTAAAAATGTGTTTCCTGTGACACATTTTTAATATTTTTGCATTCAATTTGTAATATCTTATAAAATATTGTTTTGCATCGATATCACATAAATAGAACATATTACCACAACAAATTTCACCTATTTGTATCGTTTCAGACTGCCTTAAAGTAAAAAGTTAAAATCTAATCTTTTCAGAGAGAATTAATATTTTTTTTTTTTACAATAGTACCCTTTATAACATTTACAACATAAAGATTAGACTTCTCGTCAGCATCAATCGGACTAAATTGTAATACCGAGCATATCATTACGGTTAATCTAACCTCCTCCAAGCGAAATGTTTACGATGATCCACAACGGGCCCACGTAACTCGATCGCGAAAATAGCATTGCGAAAGCGAGAGATAGTATTACGAGATAGATATTGTTTTCCCGCTAGCCGTCCAAGCGGTTAATTAGCCGAAATACTATGTGTATCTATCGTGTGCATGATGAGGTATGCACCTCGTCATTGCCCCGTTTCGCACGCGCATAATCACCCACAAAGGCTGACTTTGAAGGTACGCCGAGAGTCCGAGAGTTCGGTTACACGCAACGAGCACTTTCGAGTCGTCGGCGAATTATCCGTCGTGCTTTCACCGATCGTGCGTGAAACGAGGCCGAACATCGTGTAGGAACAATGCACGCGCGGTGTCTGTAAATTAAGGTTTGCCGCCGACCCTGACCAGAGATCGGCGATACTTTGGTGGAAGTCGACAGGTATCCCCCGAGGGACGGGGGACGAAATTTCGCTGAGATTAACCCAAGGACCATGTCAGTGTGCAGAAACGATATATAATTCGCAAAAATTAAAAGAAAGTTAAACGCTGCCTAATGTATTAATGATGATACTTATGTAGATAGATTGTATCTATCAAATTAGTTCTGATGTAAGAGAGTATGCTATTAAAAAATGAAAATTTTTCATAAAAAATTTCCATAAAATTACATATGACCTATGTAATTATATAATTTGATTTTTGATTTTTAAAATACATAAATATTCGTTTCTTAAATAATTATTTTACGTTGATGAAGAATCAGCTTTTCAATTAATTATTAGTTTTAATTCGAGATGCTGTAAAGACATCTGAATCAAACATAAAAATGTGTGTATCACATCTTGGATTTCTAGATATTTTTTTACGGCTTAGATTTATATTTTTATATGCTTAAAATAAATATGCAATTTAAAGAATAATTTATTATTACATTTATAATATGTTTATTATATAATTTATTAATCCTGTATCATATTCTCTATTCATTTTCAATATAGATTTTTCACTTAGAAAATAAACATTTATATACTGTAAGTTTTACTTTTACTGTAAATTTAATTAAACATATTAACTTCATTATATTTTAAAAACATTTATTTAAAATGAACGATTAACATACAGTTTTAAAATATTAAAAGCACTTTCGACAAGTTGAAGGTTAATTGTCTTTTAATCGCAAAAGAGCAACTAAAACAACAAAACAACGACAGAAAATAAATAAATTAATTAATAAATTAAATAAATAAATAAATTGTTTCAGTATCTCGAATATAAAAACGAATTCGTGTTGTAATAAGAGTAACGTGAAAGTTTAAAGTTCGTAAAAAAATAAATTATTTATATTATAATCAAGAATTTTGAAACACATTGTAATGACTGCAACACGTCTTTAATCCGTAAATTTCATTGCTTCCATTCGCCTCTTAAAGATCACCGATACCAAAACGATCAAGATGTTTCTTTCACAGCACAACGCCCACTAAGGGTATTCGCAATAGTCTCACGAGATATGTATACATATATCAGCGGTACATAGAACAGTGTTAGCCACGATACATAATAGCGCAGATAATATCAGGCAAGAGGCTCGCGATCTCTGCTCTTATTCGTGATCAGGCGTTTTTCCGGATTTGCCGTCGAATATGAGAAAAATCGCGGCGTGGCTCTACATACCTTAATCATGTTGAAAGTACTGTTATTGTAAGCGCATAGCTGTTACGGGGTAGAAGTCTCCACATATTATCGCTCGTTCTCGGATATATTATTGTCCATTGTGAGAAATGTTACGATTTCCTCGCGCAATTTATGGAAATGTTAACTATAATGTTAACTCTTTACGATGCTCTTGGACGCTTAAACAAATGCGCGAGCGCTGAGAAACTTTCATACTTTTGTGCATAAAGATTACCTAATGATGTATTTTTCGAGTATCTTATCAATTGTTTTATTTTTGTTTTAAATTAGCTTGTTGATTTTGTTAACAAATGAAGCATTTAAATATTGTTCATGACATTAGAAATGCCTTTGTAACAAATATTATAAAATATAACAAATTTATTTTTCATAATTAAAAAATGTTACGTATTTATTTAAAGAAAATTTATTATATATATATATATATATATATATATATATATATATATAT